GGGGGGGGGTGTCCCTCCCCCTGGGTCCAGATTGGGGCTGCCACATCCCCCCCGGGGGCCACGAAGCCACCTGGCCACCCCCAGGTCTGCACGGTTTGGGGGGGGGGCCCAGATGCGCACCCCTGGCTCAGCGCAGCTCAGGGGGCACCCCAAGTGCAGGAGGGGACACCGGGACCCCTACACAGCTCCGCTCCCACTGGTGGGGGCCGGTCCACCCACCCCAAACCAGCCTTCGCTGCAGCCACCAAATGAACACCCTGCGCCCCCCCGGAGCCACGCAGCCACTGGCTTCTGGGGGTCCCCCTCCCCGGCCACCCCACAGCCACCTGCTGGGGTCCCCATCCCACCACCCCAGAATGGCCCCTAGCCCTGGGGGCTGCAGCCCCACTGCCCCCCAACAGCCCACAGGGGAGTCGTGCACCCCACAGAGACAGCACGTACCCCACAGATGTGCCACGCGCCCCACAGATACATCATGCACCCTGTGGGGGAGCCATGCACCCCACAGATGTGCCACACACCCCACAGAGACAGCGTGTACCCCACGGCAGAGCCACACACCCCACGAATACATCATGTACCCCACGGGGGAACCACACACCCCACGGATACAGCATGTGCCCCACAGGGGAATGACACACCCCACAGATACACCATGTACCCCACGGCAGAACCACGCACCCCACAGATACATCACGTACCCCACGGGAGAACCATGCACCCCACGGATACATCACATACCCCACAGGGGAACCGTGCACCCCACAGATACATCGTGAACCTCCACGGGCGAACAGCATGCCCCACAAGTACACCATGCACCCCACGGATATGCCACGCACCCCACAGATTTGCCATGCATCCCCCAGACATGCCACGCGCCCCACGGATACATAGTGCACCCCACGGGGGAACCACGTGCCCCACGGATGCACCACATGCCCCACAGATTTGCCATGTGCCCCCCCAGACGTGTCACACTTCCCAGGTACCACAGACACCCCCAGCACAGGGACACACACACACACCGACCAGCTCCCCCCCCTCACTCCCCCCAGACCCCCAACTCACTGCCGGTACCGGTTGCTGCTCCATTCCGGTACCGGCTGCTGCCTGCACCCCCCGGTCTGCCTGCACCCCCCCGGGCCCCCTGCCCATGGAGCCGCAGTGACGTCACCGCCTGCTATAAATAACCCCGAGCAGCGGACAAGGGGGGGTGGCAGCAACCGGGAACTCTTGTTCCCCCCCCACCCTGCCAGGACCACCCCCCCATCATCCAGAGGACCCCCCTGGTGGGATATGGGGGGATGCTCCCCCCAAGGAGAGGATCGGTGGGGAGTGCTCTCTACCTTCCCGGGACCCCCTGGGATCTCCTGGAGCCCCAGACCCCAGGGAACCCAGGGTCCGGAGCTCCGGAGGGTCCCGGGGGGTCCCGGTGGGGGCCCCCAATTCCTACCTGGAGGCTAATGGCGATCTGTCGGATATAGAGCATGTTGAGATCTTCCAGGATACGCAGCTTCTCCTGCATCTGAAGGCGTTGCCCCCTCCCCGCCACCTCCATCGGGACCACCGGGACCCCCCCGGTTATTCTGGGGGGCGGGGGGGGTGTGGGGGGGGTTTCCCGCATCCACCCCGGCTCCCCACCCGTGGACCCCACTGCATCCAGCGCCGTCAGGAGTCGGCTCTTTCTGCCTCCCCCCCCCCACTACGGCTGCGGAGAGAAAAGGGCCCTTTCATCGCCCCCC